CTTTTAAAGGGTTCTGTTTGTTGTATTCATGATTAAATACAGCAAAATAAGCAATATCAAAGGTAACAGGTCTTTGTAATACTTGGTTCATTTACATAATGATTTTATTGCTGGATGTTCGGCCCCTCAGCTGTTGATTTGCAGTAACTGTGTGTGTGGAGCAATTTAGTCAAATAGCCCTGTCCCAGAGGGATCCTGGAGGCTGTTCTGATGGGTGGGGGGCGGGGCTGCGTGGTATCCATGGGTACCAGAGGCTTTCTCCCTCCCTCCTCTCTCCTCCCTCCCTCTCTCAGCCCTCACTCTCCTCCTCTGACTCTACTCAGGGAGTCAGACCTGAGCTGACACCAGCGGTGAGGGAGAGGCTGGAAGCCTTCGTMGTGTGTTTGTGGAGGGTGGCGTCACTCTGATCGCCTGCACCGACTCCTGCCTCTGGAAGCTTGATGAAGTTCCTCAGCCACGACGTGAGAACCAGCAACCCTCAGATCAACACTACCCAACACGTGAGTCTGATCTCTCTCTCAGCAGCTGCATATTTTCTTTCGTACGTTCAGAATTTCTCACTTCCTCCTGCTTCACACTCTGTTTCAACTCTACTTTCTGTGGTTGTTGCATGGGTTTCCCCCTATTTTTCCTGTTTTTATTCACCTCCATCAACTCATTTAGAACCTTTTTTTGTGTTTTTCTTGATGAAAACTTTCCCCCTCCTGGTTTTTTTTATAGTTTAAAGCATCACTTTTGGTGTGAAACATGTCAGGATTTCCTTTTGCGTTCCTCCTCAGGTGTGCCGGTGTAAAACAAGCCATCAGTCAGAAATGTGGGGTTTTGACAAGCCCCAGCGAGCTTTGGTACGAAGCAGTTCCAGACCGGCAGGGACTGAGTCATGGGTGAATAACTGCAAGGTGGAGTCCTCTGAGAAAAAAAAGGGACATTGCTTCTTTTGTAGGAGGGGGGGCCATAATGTAGTTTGGAAGCGAACGTGAAGCTTGGCTCTGAGTGAGCCGTGAGAGTTTGAGTCTAACTTGATCATTTTTCAACAAATGAGCTATCACTGTCCCTAACAGCCCCTTCACATTAAAAGCTCTGTTAATGTGTATTCATTAGTGAGAAGTTCAAGCTGAATCAGGCATGTTGATGTCTAAAGAAATGTGTTTTTAATGTCTGTTTTTCCTTTGTAACTGAGCTAAGAAGTGAAGGCAAACTATGTAAAAACCTTGTGATGTTTAAAGCTGCACGATGGATCTGTTCAATAATTAATCCTCTGTTCTGCTTTGATAAGGGATGTGATGGATTTGGCAGACCTGAGTTGATTTTGTTTATAGTGTGACAGATGCAGATTGAAGTTGTGGAGGCTGCAACGTCTTATATTTTTAATCAGGTTTTAGCATCAATGGAGCTGTTTTAGCTGTTTTTTTGTTATTAGCTGATTCCTGAACATAATCCCTTCCAGCTATTTTTATCTCGATTTAAAATTCAGATTTTTTTTTACAGAAAGTGAAGGAATTGTTTATTTGCTGTAACTTGATATCCACTAAAACAGTTTCTTACTGAAACAAATGAATGTGAACAGAGCAAAGTTGAAGGTCCTGTCACACTGTAATGTTTTAGACAACTTATGCCAACTTATGAAT